TTTTATTAGTAGTAGTAGTCGTATTATTTTTATGATTGTTATTATTATCATTACTATCATTATCATTATATTTAATATTATTATATTTATCATAATTAAAAGTAAAACCTGAGCCATTCGGATCCAAGGGGCATGATTCCCCTTGGTAGCTATGATCTCAGCGATCCAAAAAATCCTTGAATTGCTGATCGTAAAAGATCAACAAAACTCGCCCACTGTTACATTATCTTAGCATTATACTAAATTTGACACTTACCATTGATACGCTTTCGCTATCTAGTTTCTGGTGGAAAAACCTAGGATCAGGCCCAAATTTTAAACTTCTCCCTTCATTGGCTGAAAAAGAACACTTCATGATTTAAGTGGGGAAAATAAGTCAAGAGATATAATCTTCTTCAAACCATGTGTTTCTGCCTTAGGCAAGGGAAGGCAAACCACACTTTTTCCGTCCGACCAGCGAAACGTCACAGAATCAACTTCTCGGTATTGTGCTTATTATTTTTTCTTCCAACCTTTTTTCAGCATTTTTTCGTCCATTTACAGTGTTCCTTAAATCATCTTTTTAGAATTTTGAGTCACATCATGAACACTAATAATGGGTTTGAATATTTAGACTGTATTTGTTTTTGAAAGAAAAACAGTAGTGTTCTACAATGTTACAGTTAGGAAAACTGTTGTTTATTAGTTCTTGATTCTAATGAACAGAGCGAATTATGGTTAAAAATACTAAAGTTTTGCAATTAAATTAAGAAAATATATTTTTCATAATCCATTTTAATTCCAAATACCTCTCTAACCTGAGTACTAACAATTATTTTCATAAAATAGATTTTAAACATCTAGAATATAGGTGGATTGTATTATTTGTGATACATAATATAGATTTGAACATCTAGAATATAGGTGGATTGTAATATATGTAGATACATAATATAGATTTTGAACATCTAAAATATAGGTGGATTGTAATATATGTAGATACATAATATAGATTTTGAACATCTAGAATATAGGTGGATTGTAATATATGCAGATACATAATATATATTTTGAACATCTATAATATAGGTATATTGTATTGAAGCAAAGCATTTGTTCATAATCTACATATACAGGTGTGTTTTAGACCTTTACAGCTAAACCTAACAATTATCAAAATTTTCCAATTCCATTTGTCCAGGGCTTTTCAAAATTAAAGTTTTTAGATCTGTAGTTTTAGTCATAAAAATGTTGTGGGCTATTTTAGATTTTTTAAACACATACTGGACTTTTTACCGCCCTTGTACCCAACCCTTTGTATAAAAATAAAAAATAAAAATAAATCCTTTAAATTTCTTTTTACTAAAAGGAAAAAAATTCAACGGTGTTAGTGTCAAAAATGAGAGTGCTAGAGCAAAAAATTTAGAGGGGGGGCGCCAAACGCCCCCCCCCCTAATTTATGAGATTACATTTATATAAAAGATTACTTTGCAGTTACAGAACATATATTGCTAGAGGTTCTACATAAATATTATTATTTATTTAACTTTTCAATCAATCAGTTACCTTAAGGACATTAAGTTATTATTTTAATTAATTTAGATTAAGAAGAAGACGTAATTGCGTCGAAAACGCTCCGCTCCTTCTTATTATTACTGCTCTAACGGGATTATCTGAAAAAGATGATTTTTATTAAACTGGGGGGAGAGTGTTATGGTCTGGAGAGTCTTGTTTGTATCAATCGATTTTATTCCACGGAACACCTGCCCCAACATTTGCCACTTCCCTGAGGAAGAAAGAGAACACTACCATTCTTAGTTCCAAAAAAAACCGCTAGAGGTCTTCTTATAGAGAAACCATTATGATTTTAATCTTTTCATTTGAAGTTTCCTTCAATCTTGAAATTTAGCATGATTTCATTTTAGGGTATATTTAAATTGTACATTCTTTTTTCACAAATTATCATCTGTATTATCAGTTATTCATATTTAACCTGTTAACATAATCAAGTTATGTCTAACAATAGAATGAGGAATTTGCACGGGTTCGTAAGGACGATGCACCACTTATGTATGTAATTTCTGGTGGAGAAGTGTAGGATTAGTACTCCTATCTGAGGAACTTTCTCCAATTAAAAGTTGTAATTTCCAACTTTAGAAGGTACAGATATAAGTGGGTAGAGATTAGATAATAAAGATTTCATAATTCATTTCAAATTTTTATTCAACTACAAAGCACGTGATAATGCAGATAAAAAGTCACAATTTACTATGTTTTTTGGCCCAATATAAGTGAATGCGATTTTTGAATAAATACATGGGTACAGTGTACAAATTTTAAACATGATAATGATGATAAATCAGGGAAAGGGTAATGAGGTGCTTAAAGGGACTGTAAAGGAAAAATGAAAGGGGGTATAGGCTGAAAGCTAATCACTTTAGCTCTTGATCGCGACCCATGAAAGTTTTATCTGATGTTCCTGTCTCGAGAAATTGATATAAAACTGTGTTAAAATTATACGAAAGTTCATGTAAAATTTAGAAAATCTTAAACTTAAATCACGTGACCAGAACTATCACCAATGGCAGAGCAGTATGCTGTTCACGTGTGTCCGCCTTTATCACGTGACCACTTTACTGCACTGCCATTGGTGGAATTTCTGGTCAAGCAATACGGACTTATAAATAATATTATGAATTAAATCTACAAAAAATAGAAATAACAAATATAAAATTAGAATTGGAGTAAACCTAAGTTACAATTAGTTTTCTCTGGGATATCATCGTTTTCAGATTGGTTGCATATTTGCTGAATTTGATCTTTTTAAACCCACTACTTTTTTACAAAATTGTATATTTATGAATTTTCGTATAAATTTGACAAAGTTGTAAATCAGTTTCTCGAGATAGGAACATCAGATATAACTTTCATGGGTCGCGATCTAGAGCTAAAGTGATTAGCTTTCACCTATACCCCCTTTCATTTTTCCTTTACAGTCCCTTTAAGAAGTATAAGGGAAAGGAACAAAGAATTGAGGGTAACATATTTTATAAAATTCATGTTTTTGAACTACAGGGTGAAGAAGATAGATAACATTAGAAATATAAAAAAACACATTCTATCATGGTTTAAACTATCGCTGTGGTTTAACGTTGAACTCTATTATTCATTAATTCTTACCAGCATTATTAGGACTCAAAGAAGTTCGTAGTAAGATTATGATTCTATTGGAGACTCCCGGAGGGATTTTATTTTCACTGGAGGGGTTTGAAAAAAAGCTTTTTACAATTTAAAACTTTTCGCAGAGTGTTTTACATTCCACTGGAGGGATTCAGATATATTTCCAGGGGGTTTATAATTCCAATGGAGGGATTCAGAAATCCTTCCTGGGGTTTATAATTCCAATGGAGGGATTCAGATATTCTTCCTGGGGATTTATAATTCCACTGGAGGGATTCATATATTTTTCCAGGGGGTTTATAAATC